TTCTCCAACAATAAGCTGAAGCACTAGATGCTGCACAGTAGTACGTACACAGCACACCGACACACGCACGCACGCCACATACGCACACGTATATACGCTTGAAAATGCGCGATATGCAGAGTATGCATTCGGGCTCTCTACGTAAATGTGCGAATAAGAAATACGGCATACGAAGGAATAGAATAATAATGATGATGATGCTGAGTGACAATAAAAATGCCATTTTGCGTATCATTCGCAAATCGAATATATCTCGACGATAATTCATTATGAATTCAAAAAGGGGACGTGGAGTGTAGTGAATAATGAAATTCGTGTTTAATGAGAGCCAGCCTTGCACGAATATTCCAAAAATTTGATTTTTTTGGGGGGGTCATTTTGGGTGGATAATTATAACGCGACTTGTTGAGAATTAATCTTTGTAAGTAATTTTTAGGATACTTTATTTTAATTTGTCTTCTTTTCGAGATGAAAAGCATTTAAAAGATTCGAGTAGATTGGATTAGTATTCGATTAACGAGAAAGTCTTTTCAGTGAAAGCATTGTTTGAAAAGAATGATGGTTTGATGAAAAATACGAGCTTTTCATTCGTTTTACATATGAATGGTTTTATCATTAAATATATGGAATTTTCATTATTATTTTATCATGCACATTTTATAGAAATTTGAAGATATATCTATAGTGATTCATATTTCAGATAAATATGTTTATATGTATCAATAAGTAAAAATTCATGCTAATTATTCATATGATTTTAATTAAAAATTGTATAGTTTGAATTAATTATTGTAATTTTTAAATTTTATTAAAAATAATATATAACAATGTTACAACAACAAAAGCTGGCTAGCACTAAGAAGATTACATGATATATTCGATAAAATATAAATTGTATGTCAAAGATTGATTCTTGAAAAGATTCTATCAATTATATCTGAATCCTGCAAGCTAAAAACTTGATTTACGAAACAATTTATCATCCCAACGATATCCTATTTTATGTGAAAATAAATACGCGAAAAGATTTGAAAAGTTTCAATAGAGAAACTTATATCCGTTCCTTCTTATTAAAGAATATTTCATCATTCCTCAAAGTTATATTAAAAATTGCAAAGATTTTCTTACACAACTGACAGATTCGTGAGATCGTTCCGACAAACGTTTCGAGAACTAAAGAAACTGAGTGTAAAATACGTAAGAGAAAATGAAAATTAAAATTGGGAAAAATTGGTATATTCGTACAGGCCTAATCTCTACGGCTAAATCTAACGTGATGGTTCAATGGTCGCGCAATCATCTACGCCTCTCAGTGACTACGAGGCACGCCATAACATTAGCAGTAAAAGAAGAACTCTTGTGTTCAGGTGTACTAGATGAGATAGATTGAGAGGTGGAGGAAGGTGAAAAGGAGAGAAAAAAGGAATAAACGTTTTATTTTACGAAACTTAATACATCTTGAATATTAAGTTTTTATCATTTAAATTATATTCACCTAGCAAAATGTTGGAATAAAAGAAAAAAAAAAAAACGAAGAACTAAAAAATGCAGGAAACATTATGGAATGAAGTAAATGGAAGCCTACTTTCTTGCGATGGCGTATGACATGGTGATCGAATAATAATCATGCAGCTTGGGTCTGGGTAAATTTCAGACTTTCTAAGAGAAATCTAAATGGATCCTATTATATATTCGCTGCAGATATTTGATAAAATTTTTCCCAATGAATTATTTACTTTCAAAAAAAACAAAATTTATCAATAAACTTGTCTGTTCGAAGTTACATTACAATATTTGACATTATCTTCATCATATGCACAGTTAACGAATGAATATAATGTCAACGTTGATTAGTTGTTAAATGACACGTTAAAATACAAAAACTAAAAAAGAGAAAAAAACAAACCATTGGCAAGGATAAAAAAAAAAAAAAAAAAAAAAAAAAAAAAAAACCATTGGCAAGGAAAAAAAAAAAAAAAAAAAAAAGAAAAGATCAAACATCACACGAGCGATAAAATCACGAGCATTGCCTTGATATCTGAGCGTTAGCTTGCGCGTAATTGTTCGTAACGTTATTTACTCAGACTCACACCGCACACGGTACACAATATGCGTGTGTTCAAAATGTAATGTGGATAATATATGTATGTATGAATAAACGCATAGCCTTCTAACTACAGCAGTCCAATCACACCAGATCAAGTGGCGGTACTTACTAACACTGGCAGAGGCTTAATCCTGAACAACTAGAGCGTTGAAGAAACAGAAAAAAGGAAGATCGATTAATTAACATGTTCATCAAAACTTGATCTCGGTCGAATTTTCTCGATTTCTCTATTTTTTTTTCTCTCTCTTGTCATTACTCTTGCTTCCTCTCTCTCTCTCTCTCTCTCTTTCTCTCTCTTTCTTTCTCTCTCTCTTTCTCTCTCTCTCTTCCCGATGTACACAATTGAAAGACAAGAAAAAAAAAGGAAAAAAAAAAAAAAAAGAAAGAAGAACACCTACGTTGGAATGTCGCGCTACGTCAACGCTTCCGAGATTCACGGTGCGCATTGCTGTGACACATGCAGTTTCCTTTCTAGCTCTCCTCTCTCGATCTAGTCGAGTCTTGAAATCTCGATCCATATCGATCGTACGAAAAAATGATCGAGCTCGTAGCTTCGCGACAGCCAAAAGCGTCACCAAGGTGCGAGCTTTGGAGAACCAAAGACCACGGTACCTTCTTCATCGTTTCGCAGGAAGAATCGATTTCTGTTTGTACGTATTTATCAAATGATACTTTTTTATTACATAAAAAGTCGAGTTCAATAAACATCGGTGTAATGCGTACAAATAAATGGAAAATCTTGAGGAATAGAATAGATAGAAGAGAAGGATACACAGAATCGATTTTCCAGGAACGATCGAGCAATGTTCCGTTTTCACAAGCGTCGAGCAACGCCACAGTTTACTCACGTTCGACATTAAGTTATATTACGTTATTAAATCGCGTTTTTTGTGGCTCATTTCCGCAAAGACTTTACAGTTACAATGCGGCCTGTTGAACGATCACTCGTAGATGTACAATTTATTAGATTTTTAATAATAAAAAAAAAAAGAAAAAAAGGACAAAAAAGTGAAAAAAAAAACATAAAAATGTCTACCATCCACATATATATATATATTTCTATAGAAGAAAAAAGAAACATTAAAGGGCAGGTGTATGTATGTATATGTGAGACGGTGAAGCATAAAAATAGACAGACAATGAAGGCATTCTAAAGACCAGTTTCATAGAAAAATTTACCTTCCTTTACGAGCCCTTTATGATCGATATCTTCGACTATGGACTTTTTTTTTTTT